CCTGGGGAAGCCTTGGGACCTTGCACCCACATGGGAGACCCAGAAGGAGCTCTTGCCTCCTGGCTTCAGATCAGCTCAGCTGCAGCCATTGCAGCCACTGCGGAGGGAACCAGCAAACAGAAGATCTTTCTGTCCACTCCTTCTCTCTGTAAATCTGCCTCTCCTCTGTAAAAAAATAACAAACAAACTTTTAAAAAGCTCATAACAGTATTATCCATAAGCTGATAAATCTTTGAAAAACTTAGAACTCCTACAAAAACATTATTTAACCTCAAGAGTCTGTGCTGCATATACCATTATGCACAAATGGTACCCTTTTCCACAGAAATTTGACTTTACCAAAATTACGTAATATCCAAAAATGCCCAATAACCAAATGTCCACCAGTGAGTCAGCATAAACCCAAGCATATTCACAAGACACCGTGCAGCTGCTGAAATAGCGATGTCACCCATCTGTGCGTGCTGTGACAGACACTCCAGACATCGGCCACCAGGTCCCATGAACACAAATATGTGCATGAGGAAAACGTGGTTCTTTTTCTGGAAGGAATCACAAAACAGTCTCCCCACAGAGGGACCGGACACAAGCCTGTACCTTACACTTTTTCTACACAGCCTGAATTTTCCAATTAGCTGTTTACAAAGTCTACTTCTACTGGGAATACAGGGCCACAGGAGCCCTTCTGCTCTCGTCTCCATACGCCTGCGTATTTGTCAAGCCCTAATAAACAGTACAGAAAACGGTTATGACATGTTTGGAAAGCAAGTTCCACTTTTGCTGCCTCAGACACCCACCTCCAGGAGGCCGCATTTCCGTGGGCACTGCAGGGACTGGAAGGACGGGCACAGTGGGCAGGACCTGAGGGCAGGCCAGGAGCGCCCTGGCCCTATGGGGCTTGCTCTGCCTTGGTTTCCCAAGCACGTGTATCTTTATACTTACATTTTTATCAATGGAAAACCACTAGAAGATTCCCCATGGCCTCTGAGAACCAGCTCTGCTCTCCCCAACCCTTTCCCAACATTTGGCCCTGACAGGGCCCTCCCAAGGAGGCCTGCAACAGAGCTGCTCTGTAAACAGCCCCTGCTGAGACACACCGGGCTCAGTGCTCTCCCAGCAGGTCCTGCAGCCACCCATCCCAAGGCCCTGGACAAAGACAGGAACCCAAGGCATGCTGGGAAAGCCGGCTCAGTCCTTGCCCTTCTCGCAGCCAGCGGGGACTTGCCCCACGTCCATGTTCCAGGGACCTCTGTCCTCTGGAAAGCAGACTGACCCACGAGCTGTCTTGGGGGCCACACATTTTTTACTTCAGTTCAGACACACATTCTTACTGTTTCAGGGTTCACACTAAGATTCTCCCAGAATGCCTTCGCTGACCCGCAGAGCCAGCCGGAACTGGGCTTGCCTTCTCGGGATTCGAGGCCCGTCTCACACAGGAGCGCCCACTGTGCACACGGTGACAGGAAGCGCTGCTCTGCCTCCTGTTGCCTCCCTCCCTCCACCAAGGGAAGAGACTCCACAAACAAAACCCTTAAAGCCTGGTGTCTCCTGACAGACACTATTTAAACAGAAGCTGAACTATGCATGCGGTGGGTATTCTTCCAGCTTAAGGAAAAGGGGGCAGTCATCGAGTGGTGCACCAAGTAAAGGCACGGCCTGTGACACCAGCACAGCCGTCCGGGCAGCACCTGAGTGCTGGCTGCCCCACCTGCCATCCAGCCCCCCTAACGGCCTGGAAGAAGCAGCGAAGACCAAGTGTGTGAGCCCCTGCACACGGCAGGGAGACCAGAGCAACTGCTGGCTTCTGGCTTGCTGTGGCCACTGGGGAGTGAGCCAGTCCACAAAAGAGCTGACTCCTCCTGTAACTCTTTCAAATGTAAGCGTGCTGTAGCACAGCAAGTTAAGACTCCACTTGTGAGGCCAGCATTCCACAAAGGCACCAATATGAATCCCAACTGCTCCACTTCCGATGCAGCTCCCTGCTCCTGCGCCTGGGAAGGCAGAGGGGGATCCAGATGGACTGCCATGCTCCTGCCTTCCGCCTCACTCAACCCCTGCACTTACGGGAATCTGGGGAGTGAACCAGCAGACGGGAAATCTTGTGTGTGTCTTTCTATATAACTTTCTAAATAAATAGATAAATCTTAAAGAAAGAGCAGCTGTGTTTACCAATACTGAGAGGCTATGAAGAAAAGCGATAGGGCCAGGGAAGACCCACCACGAGCACCAGCACAAGGTTCTCCAAGCCTCTCTAGCAAGCCGCGTGCGTTCTCCACACTGCACCGAGAGTCTCTGAGCAGTGCCAATGGGGTGCCATTCCTCCAGGTTCCCACTGTGCCCGAGGCCTGCACAATGCCAATGGGGTGCCATCCCTCCACATTCCCCACACAGGAAGCATTTGAGACAAGACGCTTGTCCAGACTCAGGCGATCCCAAGGGCAAGTTCCTGACAAGCCCCCACGCCGTGTGTAAGCGACTGGGATCCCCACTGGGGGCGGAAGCAGAGAACCAGCGAGGCGCAGCGAGACCCAGGGGGCCAGGCCAACCAGGCCCATTTCCATGAGGAATCAAATCATGGCCTATCACACATTCACTACAATGTGCAATATCAGAGTGTGAGGGCTCAGAGGGGGGACCCCACAAACACATGGCTACCCTCAGAGGAAAAGCAAACCGCCAACTGTGCCTGATAATCAGAAGCACTGCTCCAGCACTGCAAACACACGTCAGAATCTTCCCTGTTATCTCCTCCAGGGAGAGATTACACACAATCCATATTTTATTTTCATGTTTATTTCTTCTGATCCCCTCCCCCAGCAAAACACTACATGTTTCAACAAGGGAAAATGGACTTAAAGGGCCTTTCACCACACTGGTCAATAGCGGTGTGTTACGGGGTGCTCAGGACGATGCCCTGAACCCCGCTCTGCAGCACCCAACAGGAAGATTCGTGGAGTTCTTGGGCCAGAGGCAGACAGACACGGCCCTGAGCTCCTGGCTGGCTACAGAGCGGAACGGAAGGAAGTCGGGAGGAGAATGTGGGAAGCCGCTGGGCCTCCAGCTGCACACAGCACCTCACCAGCACCCCCAGCCCGGGCAAGGGCTGCTGTGTGGCTCACAGGGAAAACCAAGCCGCCAGTGGCAGAGAACAAAGCTCAGCCCAGACTCGGGGCTCAAGTCACCAAGCCCAGGACTAACAGACCTTCACAGTCACCCCAGAAACCTTACCATCTCTTCTTTCCTCCTTGCCCCACCTGCAGGCAGCGTCCCAGCATGCCTCTCAGACCCGACTCCCCCAGACCAGAGAAGGCCTACAAAAAAAAGAGCCTCAGATCTCAGGCCCACAGATGTCTCTTGTGGCAACTATTCCTTTCCCGGGAGGAAGGCACTGTTTTTAAATCCAGCAGCGAAAAGCCCTACTTAATATCTGCCTGCCCATAATAAGATACATACATAGATAGATGGATGGAGCAGTTCATTATCTAATTTAGAAATCCACGCACTGGCCCACCTAGCCTGCTCTTGTTCGAAATAGAAACCGACACGGCAACGATCAATCAATCGATTGAAAGCGGTGGAATGACGAGACCCACAACCAGCACACAGCCATTACAGCCATTAGCAACACGAGTCGGGACGTTGTGCAAAGCAAAAAGAGAAAAAGAAGCCCCCCTCCCCCCCCCCCAGTACTGCAGAGGATACCAATCCTTAAGGAAAAGGAACTGGAATTCACCGGGGGGCTAGGCAGCAGGGGTGAACAGGCCAAGAGAAAAATCCCTCGCAGGCAGGCCCAGAGCAGCCAGAGCAGCCGGAGCCCGGCAGGACCAGTTCTTGTCCAGCCATTCCTGAAATTCCACTCACCAAGGGCCGACAGGTTCTTCCTTCCCCAGGCCTGTTACTCCCAGGGGAATCCAGGCACGGCAGGCCCCACCACCCGCTGGGCCAGGACCTGGGCAGCCTCCACAGGTAAACAAAGAATTTACTGGAAGGAGCAGCCGACTCACTGTATGTCCAGTCCCAGGCCAGACTGGCAGGAGGTGCATGAGGTCAGATGGAAAGAATTGGCCAAGGGGGCAGAAGGCAAAGCGAAAGAGTGACGTGAGGCCTGGGACCCAGAAAGCCAGGGCAAGCCAAACAAGTTCTCCCGCAGACTGTCCAAGCCAAGGCCCCAGCGCGCTGACCAGTCCGCAGATGGACCAGGAGAGCAGCCGCGTCCCAGCTCGCCCATGGGACCCAGACCCGCAGCTCCGAGTCCTCCCACCACTGTCTCTCCACAAACAGGGGAGAGCCGGAGCTGGGCGAACTCCCCAGACTTCCAAATCATTTCGGGATGTCCAGGCAGTGGGATTTACAAGGATACCGAAACCCATGGCCAGGAGTTAGGAGACAGGACCCAGACACAGGGAGGCCACACCAACAGCACGCTTCACCCCCTTGCTGCAGCCTGCCCTGCATCTCCTGAGACCCCCTGGAGTCCCCAACACATACCCAAGGTCGCCGTAAATATTCCCATCACAGACACAGGCTCAGACGTGTCCAAGCCGGCCCACCGAGGACTACAGCCCGTCGCGAGCACCCAGGGGACAGACACGCCTGCCCTTGGAAGCAGAGGCTCCCCAAAGCACTGTCCACCCCACTGGAAGAGCAGCTGTGCACCCCCTCCCCACGACTCTGCCTGTTGTCTGAGGCCGGCAACTGCTCCAGCCCTGCCTTCAACTGGACTTGAAGGCGCCAGGGATGGGGACCCAGGACCACACCCCCAGCTCTAAGCTTCCAAGGCTGTTTATCCCAGCCTCATCTCAACCACAGAAGCCCCACATGGAAAAGGAGCCCCCAATTCTTTCTTCCTGACCCAGACCCGAGGCCAGGACCTGTGGCATCCACAGCACAGCTTCCTTCCTTCCGTGGGTGGCACCGGTGACCAACATCCGTCCTCCTACCCACTCAGCTCCACTAACAGCCATACAAGGCGCAACTAGTGAGCGCCAGCTGTGTGCCCCATGGAAGAGACAGAGCAGGATCTTCAGCCCCCCAACCTGCCCCCTCCGGGCGCTCCCCAGGGGCCCCACCTGAGACTAGAGACAATGCTGCAAGCCACACCAAACACGGGGGAGGTGTGGAGATCTCGGCCAAAGTTTCACGGAGCCCTACAAGCCAAGGCTTCGAAAGGCTCCCAGGCAGCCATTTAGCAAATGACACACACTCCTGAGAGCCGCCCCAGCCCCCCACTTGCTCCCGGCGGCTGCACGCCTTTGGGGGGGGGGGCTGCGACCCCAGCACCAGATTGAGAGAAAAGGCATGGGGTGGGGGGGACACCTTTGCATCTCACACGCGCCACCCGTCTCCACCGTGCGTGTGCGATCACTGGGGGAGGAGAAAGGGGGTTAAAAAGCCATCTGGCAGGCCCCGAGCAAGCGACATCCTGTTTATTAAACGTTTTTAGCAAGCGAGCATTAAGTGCTTTCAAAATACCCCTGTGGGCCCCGCATCGGGCCGAGGGCTGTCTGGGGCGGCCGCCGGCCTCGCCCCCGCCCCGGCTGCGCAAGGGTCCCCCAACTCGGGCGACGCGGCGGCTGCAGGCCCCCCGGCACCCCACCGCCCGGAGAGCGGGCAGCACGGGGCGACTCGGCCGCCGCCGGCCTCCCCCCGGGCCTCGCGCGACGCCCAGGCCCCGCCGCGGCCCCGGGACCCACCCCGGCCGCCCGGCCGGCCGCGCGGCGCCATCACAACAATGGCGAGCGCGCCGGGGCCCCCCTCGGGCCGCGGCCCTCCTCCCCGCGCGCTCGCGGACAAAGCCCGGCCGGGCCGCGCCGCCTCCATCTTAGCGCCGCCGCCGCCGCGGCCGCCATCCCGCCGCCCCGTCCCCGGCCCCGGCCCGGCCCGCGCCGCCCCCCGCGCCCCCCGGCCCACCTGGTCTGGTTCCACGGGCGCGACGGGGCCGGGCGATGGCGGTCGGGCGGCGGAGGGGCGCGGGGGCGGCGGGATGGCGGCGGATTGCGCGGCGGCGGCGGCGGCGCGGCTTGTCGCTCGCTCGCTCGCTCGCTCCCACCCAGGCGCGCTCGTCGCTCGCTCTCTCGCTCGCTCGCTCGCTCGCAGGAGCCCCGGAGCCTGGATCTCGCCGCTCGCCTCCCTCTCGCGCTCGGCTCCCCGCCCCCCGCCTGCCGCCGCCCCCGCCTCCTCGGCCGCCTCCTCCCGCCGCCGCCGCCGTCGCCCGCCGCCCGCAGCCGAGGCCCCCGCGCAGCGCCCCCTGCCGCGCCGCCCGGGCAGCGGCGGCCTCGGGGAGCGGCCTGAGGAGGCGGGCGGGCCGGGGCCGGGCCGGGAGCGGGGCGGGGGTCGCTGAGGAGCCGGCCGGGGTGGGTGGGCGGCTGGGCCGCGGCCGGAGAGGGGGCAGGGAGGGAGGCCGCGCGAGGCAGGCCCGAGCCCGCCCCGCCCCTCGCCGCCTGCCCGGCCGTGTGCGGGGGAAGGAGGCGGAGGGCGCGCATTGTTCGAGTCCAAAGCAAGGTGCTTCAAGCTCCTGCTTTTATTACATGCAGAATATCTGGTCGAAAGGCGAAACAAAAAGGTCTGGGGAAAAACGCGTTAGACAAAACCCCCCGTCGGTAGTCCCACAGCTAAAAGGAGGAGAGAGAGTTCTTGAAGCCCCTTTTTCTAAACAAGTGCGTGGCCATTAAGGGAGAAAGATTTTTCTTTTCTTTTCTTTTCTTCCCCAAAAGCGAAGACCAAAAGATAGAGAGGAGCTTGCGCCTGCCGTAGAAATCGCCTCCCACCCCTCTCCCGGTTCTGTCTCCAGGAGCACTGGATCAGCTGCTGGCGCTGCTCTGGGCCAAGGGATTTGGTCGATGCCAGCCCTGGGGCAGGTGCACAGGTGAAGGGGTCCAGGGAGGGAGGCAAGGGCACCTCAGAGGGCGTCACCAAGGCCATATGGCTAGACCCTGGAGGAGCAGCACAAGAACATTCCAGAATTATTCTCAGTCAAAAAAAAAAATATATCCAATTTGCCTGACTTTCTCTCCAGTTGCTCATTCTGTATCTTCACAAGAACAGAATCCTGGCCTTCATTTTCCATCTTGTTCCTTGACCTTAATGTCGTAACATGGAAGGTTGTCCAACCCCACTGGGACCCAGGCCGTTGGTCTGCTGGCAGCAAAACTCAAACCAGCACTCCAGGTAATGTAAACAGCACAGGCCGCAGCTTAACCCACTGCTCTGTAATGCTGGCACTTGGCATGGCCCAGTCCTAATCCCTGCTGGACGTGTCACCTTACGTGGCGAAGGGGCCTTGGCAGATGCGACTCATCACTCAAAGGCGTTGTGATGGAGACATCCCGGACTGTTTGGTTGGATCCCTGGACTGCCAACATGGAGGCAGATGGAACAGAGAGCAGGAGTAATCAGGAAGTTAGCATTTTTGAAAAAGACTTAATATTTTTGTTGGAAAGGCAGATTTACAGAGAGAAGGAGAGACAGAAAGATCTTCTGTCTGCTGGTTCCCTCCCCAAGTGACCTCAACAGCCAGGGCGGAGCCAATCCAAATCCAGGAGCCAGGAGCCACTGCCGGGTCTCCCACATGTCTTGCATGGGCACTGGTTCGTATCCCAGCTGCTCAGTTTCCCGTCCAGCTCCCTGTTTGTGGCCTGGGAAAGAAGCTAAGGGTGGCCCAGAGCCTTGGGACCCTGCACCAGCCTGAGAGACCCAAAAGAAACTCCTGGCTCCTGGCTTTGGACTGGCTCAGCTCTGACCGTTGTGGCCACCTGGGGAGTGAGTCAGCAGGCAGAAGATCTTCCTCTGTCTCTCCTCTGTAAATCTGCCTTTCCAATATAAATAAATAAATCTCTTCTTTTTAATGTACTTTTGTTTGTTTGAAAGGTATAGTGACAGAGCCATGGGCAGGGGGGATCTTCCATCCACTGGTTCACTCCCCAAATGGCCACCAATAGCCAGGAATGGGCCAGGCTGGGCCAGGAGCCAGGGACTCCATCTGGGTCTCTGCTGTGTCAGGGGACAGGATGCCTGTGGCGACAGCCGCTGCTTCCCAGGGGAATCAGCAGAAAGCAAGATCAGAAGTGTGAATAGGACTCCAATCAGGAGGCCCACCCCAGACCCCCAGATGACATTTCTATTAGAGAAATAGTATGGAAGACCCCAAACCAAGCCACACAGGCAACATCTGGGAGCTGGGAAACGCCCAAAATGGTTCCCTCTCTGTCCAGAGCTTCCAGAGAGAAGCCAGTGTCCCAGGACGGCGACAGTGGTGTTGGACATGTCACGCGACCGCAGCAGCAGCAGGAGGGGTTAGGTTCTGGAGACTCCTGCAGGTCGTACAGCTAGGTAAGGGTTAAGCGGTGGGGAAGGGAGGCCGCAGGGGACAGGCCTGCTTCACCTGCAGCTCACTCCCCACCTCTCTGGCCTGGTGAGGAGGGTACGGAGTCCCCCTCATTTCAAAGTCCGCCTGCTCATTCAGAGGAGGACCTGCTCCATTTCCCACACTCGGGCTCAGCAGACAGGGGCATCTCCATCTAATAACACCAGCGCAAATGCATATCCCAGGGTTTCAGTGCTGGTGCAGCCTCCTGGCAGCAGAGCCGACCTCCGCGTGCCCTGGGGTTTGTACCTGTACAAACTACAAACGGCATGGGCCACCACTGTCTCACCCCAGTGTAGGGACCCAAGCTGGGCAGACTAGACAGCTTGTGGCACAAACAGGGGCTGCCCATGTGGTGACTGGAAGGTGAATGCTTGAGACCGCCACACTGGCCAACCCTCCACCTTCAAACAGCAGCATCCCAAATGGGCACGGGCTCATGTCCCTGCTGCCCCACTTCCCTTCCAGCTCCCTGCCTGTGGCCTGGGAAAGCAGGAGAGGACAGCCCAAAGCCTTGGGACCCTGCACCCACGTGGGACAACCCAAAAGCAGCTCCTGGCTTTGGATCGGCTCAGCTCTGGCCTTTGTGGTCACTTTGGGAGTGAACAAGCAGATGGACAATCTTTCCTGCTCCATTTCTCCTTCTTTCTGTAAATCAGCCTTTCCAGGAAAAATAAATAAATCTAAAAAAAGAAAGAAAAGTGGATGCCTGGCAGGCTGAAGATAAACATTTGACTTCTGACCTTGCACCCCCAGAAATGCACCGATTTCTCCCCTCCCTGTCACCCTCCTGGTGACAAAGCAGCTATCAACATGTTAAAAAAGAAAGCTGATCCAGTGTGTCCAATGCCTTAACTTTCCTTAGAAAGATCTTTTATTATTATTTTTAATTTTAGAGGCAAATTTATAGGGAAAAGATAGAGAGAGATCTTCTTTTGTTTTTTTTTGTTTTTTTAAAGATTTATTTTTATTATTTCTTCGTTGGAAAGGCGGATATACAGAGAGGAAGATCCCCAAGTGAGGGCAACGGGTCGATACTATGCCGATCCGAAGCCAGGAGCCTCTTCCAGGTCTCCCACGCGGGTGCAGGTTCCCAAAGCTTTGGGCTGTCCTGGACTGCTTTCCCAGGCCACTGGCAGGGAGCTGGAAGGGAAGCGGGGCCGCCGGGATTAGAACCGGCGCCCATATGGGATCCCGGGCGTGCAAGGCGAGGACCTTTAACCACTTGCACCACCGCGCCGGGCCCAAGAGAGATCTTCTTTTGATGTTAGTTCACTCCCCTCAATGGCTGCAACAGTCCAAGCTAGACAGGTCTGAAGTCAGGAGCCTGGAGCTCTTTCTGAATTTCTCATCTGGGTACAGGAACTCAAGGCACGTGAATAAGGGGCTGGATGGGTAGTGAAGCAGGTCCCAGGGCACAGTGGCTAAATCCTCGCCTCCTAAGCACTGGGATCCTCTGTGGGCACTGGTTCATGTTCTGGCTATTCCACTCCCCATCCAGCTCCCTGCTTGTGGCCTGTGAAAGCAGTCAAGGACAGCCCAAGGCCTTGGGACCCTGCACCCGTGTGGAAAACCTGGAAGAAGCTCCTGGTTCCTGGCTTCAAAACAGCTCAGCTAGAGCCATCATGGCCACCGGGGAGTGAACCAGCGGCTGGAAGATCTTTCTGTCTGTCTCTCCTTCTCTCCAGAAATCTGATCTACTTTTGCAATAAAAACAAATCTTTAAAACAAAAATAAAGAAAAAAAAAAAAAACAGAGCAGCCAAACACAAACCAGCAACAGCAGCGTAGGCATCCCATGTGGGCACCAGCTCAAGTCCCAGCTGCTCCACTTCTGATCCAGCTCCCTGCCCCGGGCTGCGATAGTCCCCGGGCCCCTGCACTCACATGAAACAGCCAGAAGGGGCTTCAGCCCTGGCCAGCAGATGGAAGATCTCTGTCTCTCCCTGGTCTCTGTGTAACTCTGCTTTCAAATAAATAAATCTTGGCGGGGGCAGGGGGGGGAAGGACCAATGGTGTTGGTGAAGGTTAAGGATGCCTGTCCAAGCCCTTCCAGAAACTCACACACAAACAGGGTGGGAAGAGGGAAGGAGAAAGCCAAGTCCAGGGCTCGGCCACGGCTCCTGGGACCGCTCGGCACAAGGGGCTGCCTGCCAGCAAGGGAGAACAGGCAAAGAAATTATATTGGGACTGGCACATTGGCTCAACTGGCTGATCCTCCACCTCCCAAGGTGCTGGTTCATGTCCCAGCTGCTCCATTTCTCATCCAGCTCTCTGCTTGTGGCCTGGGAAAGCAGTCGAGAGTGGCCCAAAGCCTCGGGACCCTGCACCCACGTGGGAGACACAGAAAAAGCTCTGGGCTCTCTGGCTTTGGATCAGCTCGGCTCAGGCCATTACAGCCACTTGGGGTGTAAACCAGCAGACACAAAATCTTTCTCTCATCTCTGTAAATCTGCCTTTCTAATAAGACCAAATAATTCTTTTTAAAAAAAAAAAAAGTTATGTCTTTAAAGTTACTAACCATAGCCGCTAATCAGAGCTGGAATATGAACAGGAAGTCAGGACTGAGGGAACCACACGGGGAGGCTGGGAGAGCCAGTGTGAAAAAGCCATGAGCCAGGGTTCGTTTCTTGTTTTTATTTTTTTCCTTTTTTTTCAATCAGATGTGTTTATGTGTTTACTTATTAAAAAGGCAGAGCTACAGAGATAAAGGGCTCTGCCAGCCCCCGGTTCACTGTCCCAGTGGTCATAAAGGCCAGAACTGGACCGGGTTGATGCCAAGATCCTGGAATTCCATCTCAGTCTCCCTCATGGGTGGCAGAGCCAAAGTGTTCAGTCTATCTTCTGCTGGCACAATAACAGGGAGCTGCATCAGAAGTGGAGCAGCCAGGACTTGAACCAGCACCCCATGGAATGCCAGCAGTACAGATGACAGCTTAGCCTACTGCTCAGTGCCCACTCCTGCTTTTGCAGGGGGAG